AAATCAGCAGAAAAATAAACTCAGATTTTCCTCCCAAGTCTCTAACCATTAAGCCTAGGGGTCAGCTACTTCTGGACCGAGAATGGCTGCTTGCGTAGGGGGAAACTTGAAAATGGGGAAGTGGCTTCTGCTGTGCATTAGGCAAGTTTCAAAACCGATTAAAAACGAAAACCCTTTCAGATCTCTTCGTAAGCAACTGCCTTTGTCCCGTTTCTCACTGCTATTTCTTTCGTCGGCTTCCTGAAAGTCAGGACTGAGTTTGTAAGCCTTTGGCACACCAAGAACTGGTTTGCTTCAAACTCAAGTAACAGAGTTCTGGGTGAGATTACGGGGTCTTCAAAACCAGCCCTGCTATGTGCACAAATGCCAAATAAAGTATCTTGGACAGATGACCATCTAACCCAGGGGTAGGCAACCTTGGCTCTTTTATGACTTGTGGACTTCAACTCCCAGAATTCCTGAGCCTGCCATGCTGAGGGGAAAGGGAGAGGTTTCCATGCTGAGCCATGCCAGCTCAGGAATTCTGGGAGTTTTAAGTCCATGAGTCATAAAAGAGCCAAGGTTGCCTACCCCTGACCTAGCCTTTGCTTGGGGCTGTCACAGAGAAGAGGGGGTTGACTTACTCTACAAAACACCAGAAGGCAGGACAAGAAGTAACCGGTGGAAGCTTCTCAAAGAGAGAAGCAACCTGGAACTAAGGAGAAATTTCCTGACAGTGGGAACAATTTATCAGTGGAACGGTTTCTCTCCAGAAATTGTGGGTGCTCCAACACGAGGTTTTCAAAAAATAGACTGGACAACCATTTGACCGGGATAGTATAAGGCAGGGGTAGGCAACCTTGGCTCTTTTATGACTTGTGGACTTCAACTCCCAGAATTCCTGAGCCACAATGGCTCAGCTTGGAAACCTCTCCCTTTCCCCTCAGCGTGGCTGGCTCAGGAATTCTGGGAGTTGAAGTCCACGAGTCATAAAAGAGCCAAGGTTGCCTACCCCTAGTATAAGGTCTCCTTCCTTGAGCAAGGGATTGGACTAGAAGACCTCCAAGGTCCCCTTCAGCCCTTTGATTCTATATTCATTCAACTCACTCTTAAGTCTCAGAACATTTTTTCCCCACAAATTCTATCAGAATCTGCTTTCTTGTAAGTTAAGATTCACAATTTGCCATCGTGTATTCTGGAACAAGGAAAAAAAAAGATGCTCATTTGTTTTGTATCGCCCTTCCAAGTTTGCCAAGGTGTGACCCAAGCAAAATAAATTGGAGCAAGGATTTCTGATGCCCTGGAAACCATCTTTCCATCGTTGGCAGCCTCAAACTGCCTTTGCCATTTTTGCAAGCTATGGTGCAGTTCTGGCTTAGAGGGTGGTGACAATGAACTTTTGTTCTAAGAGTTATGATTTTTTTTCCACACACGTAGCACTACCAAACCAGGCACTCCCTGTCCTTTTATCTGTGTAGTAATCAGTATATTTTACAGAAGTGAGCCTTTAAAAACGAGATAACTACAAAATCAATACGTCTACCTCTAGAGTAGCTTGAAGACTCAGAGAGAGAGAGAAATTCTTAACACAGAATTAGAATACTTTGGAAATAAGTACTTCGTGACAACAAATGTGCAATTTATTTTGTTTTATTTGATCCGTCAGCAAGGCATTTATTTGCATGGTTATTATAAAGTTCTGCAGATCCTATACATTTTTGCTTAACCGCTGAGTAATCCAGGAGTAGTCTTCTTCCCATGTATCCTGGCATTTAATTGGAAAGAGGCACATCCACCAGCATAGAAAAAGCAGTAAAACCCAAACACTCACAGGGAATCTATCTCTATAAATACAGATTTAGCTACCCGCAAACATCTACTTGTTTGAAGATTGATCAAGCGAATCATTTTCTAAAGATTGCAGTACTCTAAATCATCGCTTTTGTACTTTTTTAAAGTACGGTGATCTTGGTTGAGATGCTAGGCAAGCGGTGCGTTGATACAGTTTGGAAAAAGAAGACGGATGTATGCATCAACAATTAATAATAAAAATTATTATCTTTTCCTCTTCATTCCTTCCCGTCAGCCACAGCTTCAGGTCTTCTTTTTTCTAAGTTGGCATTGGCTTGTCCTATACTACCCTTATCCAACTTCCTACTCTCCACAGCCTCCATCATCCCCAGCCAGTAGGGCATCTGCAGGATCATAGGCCAGGTTAGTAAAACGCTACTTTCTGCTACTTGGTCTTTAACGAAAAATCTTTTAGGGGCTACTGATACAAGTAGCCCTTGACTTACGTCCACAACTTAGCCCGATTTTTTTTTCTTGCTAAGTGTTAATATTTGCTAAGTGAATTTTGCCTCATTTTATGACCATTTGTGCCACAGTTATTAAGGGAATCACTGCAGTTGTTAAGTTAATAACAAGGTTGCTAAGTGAATCAATGGCCTCCCCATTGATTTTGCTTGTAAGACGGTCACAAAAGAGGACCACATGATCCCGGGACACTGCAACCGTCATAAATATGAGTCAGTTGCCAAGCAGCTGAATTTTGATCACGTGACCCTGGGGATGCTGCAATGGTTGTAAATGTGAAAAACGGTGATAAGTTAACTTTTTTTTCAATGCTGTTGTAACTTTGAACGGTCACTAAATGAACGGTTGTAAGCAGAGGATACCTGTACATTTAACAAAAATGCAAATATCTTACAGCTCAGAAATTGACAGCTCAAAGCAATCCAGGCAGAATAAACGAAGAATGAGCAAATTTGAGAAAGGAAGAAGCTTTAAATTCGGCGTCTATGACCTGTACTTAAGCATCATGGATTCAACTGTTATTTCCTATTTTTACATCCTATTTTTTTTTACAACTGCGTATGCGTATGCACAATTCATCAAAAGACTGTTGGGTTTTGGCTGAGAGTAGGAAACCACCAAAGAGCAATAGCAATTTTTTAACACGTGCAGGCAGTCCTCAAATTACAACTCTTCGTTTAGTGACTGTCGGAAGTTACAACGGCACCGAACAAAATGATTTATGCCCATTTTTCACACTTACAACCATTGCAGCATCCCCAACCCCAGGATCAAAATTCAGACACTTGGCAATTGTCTCATATTTATGACGGTCACAGTGTCCCGGGGTCCTGTGACCCCCCCTTTGACGACCTTCTAATGGGCAAAGTCAATGGGGGGGGAAGCCAGATTCACTTAACAACCGTGTTACTAACTTAACAACTGCAGTGATTCACTTAACAACTGTGGCAGGAAAGGTCGTAAAATGGGGCAAAACTCCCTGAACCACTGCCTCTCTTAGCAATGGAAATGTTGGGCTCAATTGTGATTGTAAGCTGAGGACAACTGCTATTGATATGTGGGGTCTGCAAGCTGAAGAACTTCTATACCAGGGGTAGGCAACCTTGGCTCTTTTATGACTCGTGGACTTCAACTCCCAGAATTCCTGAGCCAGCCATGCTGAGGAGAAAGGGAGAGGTTTCCATGCTGAGCCATGCGGGCTCAGGAATTCTGGGAGTTGAAGTCCACGAGTCATAAAAGAGCCAAGGTTGCCTATACGGTAGTGATCCTCAGCCTTGGCAGCTTGAAGAGCTGGGGAATTCTGGGAGTTGAAGCCCATCCATCTTCTAACTGCCAAGGTTGAGAAACACTGTTCTATGGAAAGGCCAGATCAAAAGTTGGGGGGATTGAAATCCTTCCAGGGGGTTATTGGAGGGCAGAGCTGACTTGCATGAAAATACTTCCACCAGGGCAGAAAAGCTGATCTCCTTGTCAAAACGGAAGCCTGAATTCTCAAGCCAAGACGGATGAACGTGAAATGCCGTGAATCCATCCTTTTGCTTTTCTACTGTTTCATCTGGAAGACCCTAACCCCACCACACTGCTCAGAAGAGATCTTGCAAAAGGTAGAGGAAGCGCCATTTTGCACAGCTGAGGGAAGTTTGAAGAAATCTGGATTTAATTGACCGATTTGTGTGTCTCCCCCCAGCTCTGAACGAGGGGGCGCCCTTTTTTTCTTGCTCAACCCTGTCTGAGGACATCTTACTCCACCCGCCGTCTCAACGCAGAGCTTCTCGCCCTCTGGAAACATACCTGCCGAAAGACCTTGAGTGACACGGCTCCCAATATACCTCAAGATGATCAACGTGAAGGGCAGGAGGGTTTGAGCTATCCAAGGATGTCCGCTTCTTAAAAAATTGCAACTGTCGAGGCAGCAGCCAAAGGTTGGACAAACAGGTTGGAGATGACGGATGGACGGACGGATGGATGGATGGACACAGTCAAGATGAAAGATACCAAAATGTCAGACAGCCTACCGACTGTTGTTGCCATGACATCCAACAGTCAACATCAGTCTGATAAGCTATCCGACAGAAAGGTACACGCCAAGGAGGAGGAGTCACAATGCCAGACAAGGCAGGTGTGTGTGTGGGGGGGCACACAAGTGGGAGAAGATGGGAGACATGCTTGCTTGCTTGACCAAACAGAGGACAATCTGCCAGAAATCTAACTGGTCTTCAGAGGCACGATGACCACGCATAAGGCAACATAAAATAGGATTGGGTGAAACCAAGCATCCGCTAAAATCAACTGACTTTGGATTAGCCAAGGCTAATAACACCCTTACAAAGGAAAAATAATTTCTGCCAGGCACTACTGTCAAGTCCAATTCTGTCCTGCCAAAGTTCTGAAGATGTTCTTCAGCAAAGCAGAACATCTTGCCAAAAAAGGAGACCCTTTCTCCATGCAGCAGGAACCCAGATGCCCAAACAGGCCCAACCATCTATGAACCAAGCTACCACCTCCCACTTATGCTTTGGAAATGAGGAGGATTTCCTTTTGGGAACACAGGAAGTGTCTTCCTTTGAATCTGCCTGTGGTTGGTCCTTTAGATCCCCGATATCCTCTCCATCCTTTCTGAGATGCAAGCATACAACGAAGCAAAGAACCTGTTTTGTCTTCCCCCCCTCCCACACACCTTTTAACAAAAAGAGGCACCGTGAAGCTATCTTTGAATGTTGTTTATTCCAGTTACCTTTCCAGTTACCTGCATCTTACAAAACCAACTTCCTGTGCGTTTCCTAAACAGCGCTCTGGAAACACTGCGAGAGTTAACCATTTTAAAAAATCCAACACGAGGATAACTCCAGGTGTCGGGTCTACGGGGTCAGTTAAATAAATAAAAATAACTGAACAGTGTCAAAACCCACCCTGTCTATTTCTTTTATCTGAGCAAGGAGTTTCTTGGGAAAATCCCAAAAAAGCGAGAATTCCCAACGGAGCAGAGCAAGCAATTCGACCACAACGGGGGTTGAAAGATTATGCAAAGGAACTAAAATAAAAAAATTTTAAAAAGAAAAAAAAAACGGGGAGGGGGGAGGATTTACCGGAACACACAGAAAAAGGGGAAGAACGGAGGACAGTTTTAAAAGACCCAAAGAGGGAAGTCTGGAATGATCTGAGAGGGTGTTGACTTAATGCCCTTCAAAATAGGTCCAAGGGAAAGAAAAAATCAGAGGCCCCGACTTTTCACGTGAACATGAAATGGGGAATTTCCAGATGTTCGTCAAAGGGCCACGCCTGCGGCTAGTAAATCTAAGATTAGTCAGGTTAAGACGAGGGATGGTTTTGCACCCATCAGGGAGAGACTGGTCCATCTTGAACATTAAACATCATGGCCAGTAGCCCTAAAAGTTCTGGAAGGCAAGGAACTTTTTGTAAAAAATGAGAAAAGACAAGGGGAGGGGGGGGGAGAAATACCCCAACGCTAACCCAGCCCTGTAGTGAATTTGGATGTGAGCGAGCATATATGTTAAGACAAGAAATTAATTTACATTGAAAGAATGGTACACGTGTTACCTTTAAACGTGGAGATGGTGATCCATGACTAATGGTCGAGTTACTTGAACCGAAGAGTCCACCCCTAGACGCCCTCCCGTACCCCTGTCCCTCTTTTGCAAATTATTATTATTATTATTATTATTAAACGCGAGGCTGGTTATTCCGGTGGAAGTTGGGGTTTATCCCTCCCTTTCTTGCTCCAGCTCATTTTGCTTTCCTCTCGGAGTTCCTCCGTTGCTGGAGACGCTTGTCGTAACTTTGGGCCATGGAGTTAATAATGGATAAGACAAAATAGCACACCATAATTATAACCAATTTCTCAAACGTCCAGGAGAGCCAGTTTTCGCCCTGCAGAAAGGAGGACAAGAGGGAGGGAGATAAAAAGAAGGTAAAAAAATGAATATTAGGGTCACGTGTGCTTCAAAATACAGGTTGTCTTCGACTTACAGCCACGAAATTTCTTTTGCTATATGTGGGACGTTTGTTAAGTGAATTTTGCCTCATTTTACAAACTTTCTTGCCCCGGTTGTTAAGCGAATCACTGCAGTCGTTAGATAAGCGACACGGTTGTTAAGTGAATCGGGCTTCCCCCATTGAGTTTGCTCGTCGGAAGGTGGCAAAAAGGGATCATGTGATCCCGGGGGACACCGCGACCGTCATAAATACGAGGCGGTTGGCAAGCGGCTGAATTTTGATCACGTGACCGCGGGGATTCCGTGAGTGTGAAAATGGTCATAAGTCACTTTTTTCGGTTCTAAATTTGGTCACTAAAAGAGCTGTCGTAAGTCGAGGACTTCCTGTATTGTACGTGGATGGGAGGTAGCCAGCTTCTGCCACTTTCTAACTTAGGTTTGTTGGGCAGCAAAGCAAGCTTGCTAGGCTCTTTAGGGGGGGTTGAGTCCATGTTTCCTCCCAGGCCCAGGCAGATGGATGGCCCTGGGTTCAAGGGAGTCTCCAGTTACAAGGCTTGGTTTAGCAATCACGGGCAATGCGGGCGGCAGATGACCAGTGACCAATTCTATTACTGGAAAGAATTAAGTGGCCTTTCAGGGGAAGATGAGTAATAACTGGATCAGCATCCTTCCAGGAAGTTGATCTGACCAACTTGGTTTCTCAAGAATAACGTGGGAGTATCAGAAAGTGTCTCACACAAGACCGAATAATTTATCCAGGCAGTTCAGGCTGGCAGTGGTGCTCCCAGCAACCTCAGATGCTTTTAAGTGGAGCACCCCATGGAAAGTGAATCTAGAAAACTGCTTCTTTAATTACTCAATGAGTAAACTTGTGGAGGGATTCAGCCGGTTTGCACCACTTCGGCAAAACCGGTAGCTAATTTTTTTTGTTGCCCGGGCCCAGAATGGATTTCTGGAAGCGGCATCCACACAGATTGTTCACATATTTGAATCCCACCACTGACCTGATAGCAGAATTCCAGTATCTGAGGGCCTGTCACAAAGAAGAGATGTGTGTGTGTGTGTGAGGGGTGTGTGTGTCAAACTCTTCTCCAAAGCACCAGAAGGCAGGACAAGAAGCAAGAAACTAATCAAGGAGAGAAGCAACCTGGAATTAAGGAGGAACTTCCTGATAGCGAGAACAATTAATCAGTGGAACGGCTTCCCTCCAGAAGTTGTAGGTGCTCCAACACTGGAGGTTTTTAAGAAGAGATTGGGCAGCCCACTTGTCAGGAAATGGTATAGGGCAGGCGTAGGCAACTTGGCTCTTTTATGACTCGTGGACGTCAACTCCCAGAATTCCTGAGCCAGCCACGCTGAGGAGAAATGGAGAGGTTTCCATGCTGAGCAATGCCGGCTCAGGAATTCTGGGAGTTGAAGTCCACGAGTCATAAAAGAGCCAAGGTTGCCTACTACTGATCTAGGCCAGGGGTAGGCGACCTTGGCTCTTTTATGACTCGTGGACTTCAACTCCCAGAATTCCTGAGCCGGCATGGCTCAGCATGGAAACCTCTCCCTTTCTCCTCAGCATGGCTGGCTCAGGAATTCTGGAAGTTGAAGTCCACGAGTCATAAAAGGTTGCCAAGGTTGCCTACCCCTGGTATAGGGTCTCCTGCCTGAGCAGGGGGTTGGACTAGAAGACCTCCAACGTCCCTTCCAACTCTGTTACTCTATTTTAGATGACAGGAGTTGCTAAAAAAACCTGACCTGGTTCTTATTAACTCTTGGGTGAAAGTCCCAGTTTGAGGACAGCCTGCCGTTCTGCTCCCTGCCCACCGCCCTGGAAGCTCGGGCATCGATTTAAAAAATTGGGACTTAGAAAGTTAGCGTTGGGGGGAATGATAACGGGACAGGCCTCAGAGGAAGTCTTATTGACTCCCAAGTTTTTCCGCTCAAGACGCGGGAGGGCAGCGGTGAGCAGTGAACTAAAAACTAAGAATAAAAACCACACTTTTCTAGAGTTCCTTAAGAGTGGGTTCGCTTTTCCTCTCAAAGGCCCACTTTTTGGAGATGAATTAAGGTGGGACAGGCCAGGAAGGAAGAAACGCAGAAGCGCTCTTCAGCCAAACGAATATACACAATACAGGGCTAAAGAATCTTCCCAGGATTGGATTACGGATATTTTATTATCCAGAGAGCTTCCTCAATTTTTATTCGCAATATTCTCAAGGCGGTCCATGTCTTAACCTGCTTTAACCAGCTGTTTCCTATCCAGAGAGTCTCACTATTTTCCTTAATGCCAGCAAAAAAAGGGGGACGGGAGAAAAATGTGACCCGAAGACATTTGGGAAAGGGGAAAAAAAGGTGAGATTTCTTACCTGGGGGGTGTCGTTGGCTTTGCTGTGCAGCTTGATCCGCTGAGCTTCCAAGTACTCTTGAAAAGGTTTTTGCAGCGAGGCACCAATGCCGGGCACGGAGCTATGGGTGAATCCGGGGGGCCCAAGTTGCGAGGGAGGCCAGGCATTTGGGGAAGGGGGGGCGAGGAAGAGAAAGGGGGAGGGAGAAGAGAGAGCACAAGAAACATGATTGGCGGGGGAGAACTTACCTAATGAAAGCTAAAGAGGGAGAAAAAAAACAAAACAGCCCCCACGGAAGGGAAGGGGGTGTCTGGGAAGATAAAAAAGAACCCGGGCTGTCCTCCAGCTGGTGTAAAAAATAAAATTAAAGGGAAAAGAAGAAGAAGAAGAAAAAAAACCAGCCAAGAAAAGAAAAGATGGAGAGAAAAAAAAAAATTTCTTTGGCAAGTTGGCAAGATGGGCTAAAAACTCCAGCTGGGCGCAGAGAGGAAAGGTCTGCAGCGGAGACTGGCACTTCCTGAAGTGGGGCAGCCCCCTGGGTCAGGCCGGTGCCGGGTTGGCGTGGGGTGACTTCAGAAAAGTCCCCACCATTTATCACCCAGGGGTTCCTGTAAGAACTGGTTTGAACCGATTAGCGAGGAAATGACTTGGCTGGTGTCAGTCGCCCCGTTTAAAAAAGAAACAGCCCGCCTCCCACGGCTGACTGGCCCCCCTCCTCCCCGAAAGAGGCGGGCCTGGCCCAATCCAAGTCCTTATTAGGACAACTCCTGCGTCATTCCTCCCCCCCCCCCGCAGCCCCAGGGCCTTATCCCGAAAAGAATGCATTCCCCAGCTGCAGAAAGGTACCTCCCATCAAAAGTCAGGCAATGAAGGGGGGGGGGGAAATAGAAGAGGAAGAAAGAAAGAAAATGAGAGAGAGAAAGAAAGAAAGAAAAAGAAAATGAGAAAGAGAAAGAGAAAGAAAAAGAGAAAAAGGAAGAGGAAGAGGAAGAGGAAGAAGAAAGAGAGAGAAGAAAGAAAGAAAGAAAGAAAGAAAGGAAGGAAGGAAGAAAGGAAGAAAGGAAGGAAGAAAAAAGGAAGGAAAAGAAGGGAATAAGAGAAAGAATAAAACAAAAGAGCAAGAAAAAGAGATAGAGAGAAAGAGAGTAAGAAAGATAGGAAAGAAGGAAGGAGAAAAAAAGAAAGAAAGGGATAAGAGAAAGAATAAAAGAGAGAAAGAAAAAGAGATGAGAGAAAGAGAGTAAGGAAGGAAGGAAGAAAAAAGGAAGGAAGGAAAGAAGGGAATAAGAGAAAGAATAAAATGAAAGAGCAAGAAAAAGAGAGAGAGAGAGAGAGAAAGAGAGTAAGAAAGGTAGGAAAGAAGGAAGGAGAAAGAAAGAAAGAAAGAAAAAGAAAGAAAGAAAGAAAGAAAAAGGAAGGAAGGAAGGAAGGAAGAAAAAAGGAAGGAAGGAAAGAAGGGAATAAGAGAAAGAATAAAACGAAAGAGCAAGAAAAAGAGAGAGAGAAAGAGAGTAAGAAAGGTAGGAAAGAAGGAAGGAGAAAGAAAGAAAGGAAGGAAGGGAATAAGAGAAAGAATAAAAAAGAGAAAGAAAAAGAGATAGAGAGAAAGAAAGAAAGAAAGAAAAGAAAGAAAGAAAGAAAGAAAGAAAGAAAGAGAAGGTTATTGATTAACAAAGAATCTTGGCTTCTGAATCATGCCGCAGTGTTTCCTGGCTGGCTAAGGCTGCGGAGGAACTTGTGTGCTGATTATCCCTTTTCCTTAAGATAGAAAGAAATGCTGGCTTGGCACAAATGAGAGGGGTGGGCTTGGGGGAAATCAGGCTGAGAGCTGCCTTTTTTCTGGAGCTAAGAAAAAGCTTGAATCCACAATGGAAGCCCCCCCCCCCCAAAAAAGTGATCCATGACATCCTTTGGAAGGATTATGAGTGGGGTGGAGGTGGGGGTGCCGTTTTTCTCTACTAGCATATTCAGCCCCCACCACGCCCAAACCAGGATCGGGCCAAAGCAGGTATCAATCTGTGTCCGTGCCCCCCTCGTGTAAAGAAGGGGGGGTCTCCAGCAGCACGGACAAGGTGCCCTTTAAGATGCTGGAGAAAAATGGGGAAGGAGGGTCAGAAATGGACAGTGAGAACAATTAATCAGTGGAACAACTTGCTACCAGAAGTTGTGGGTGCTCCCACACTGGAAGTTTTTAAGAAGGGACTGGACAGCCATTTGTCTGAAATGGTATAGGGTTTCCTGCCTGAGCAGGGGGTTGGACTAGAAGACCTCCAAGGTCCCTTCCAACTCTGTTATTCTATTATTCTAGTGGAAGCCACCAATGACAGTATTTTCTGGACTGGCTGGCTGGGGATGAAGAAGGGGGAGGAAAGAGAGAGAGAGAGAGAGAGAGAGAGAGAGAGAGAGAGAGAGAGAGAGAGAGAGAGAAGAAAGAGGGAAAGAAAGAAAAAGCGAAAGAAGAGAAAGAGAAAAAAGAGAAAGAAAGAAAGAAAAGAAAAAAGAAAGAGAGAGGGAAAGAAAAAGAGAAAGAAGAGAAAGGAAAGAGAAAGAAAGAAAGAAAGAAAGAAAAAGAAAGAAAGAAAGAAAGAAGGTGATTGATTAACAAAGAATCTTGGCTTTTGAACACATTTGGAAGAGTCAATAATGCCAGTGAAAACCAAAAATTGGGACCTCGGAAATCTGGAAGACCTGGCTGCCTTCAACGCCATCTCCGGAATCTCATGGGGTCCCCATTGGGTCCCCCTGCCCCAAACGTAGCCCTTTTGGGCTTTCTTCTTTGGGGGGATTGCTGGAAGCCAAAAGGGGGGATTTGTGGGTCAAAAAAAAAAAAATTCCCAACCACTCGTCTTCTCCCAAGTGGACAAAGTATTTTAAAAAAAATGTTCTCAATTAAATTAGATGATGGCTTCCTTTGTGATTTGCTTTGGATAGTAAGAACAGCAGCATATCAATTTAATCAATAAATAAATTCACAACATTCTTTTGTCAAAACTACATCAAGATCTGAACAGCGCACGTGCACACAAAATCAACAAAAAAACCCCAAAGAATGGACAAGCCCGGACAATATTGCAGATATTTCTTATACAAATAAGTCCTCAACTTACAACAGTTCGCTCAGTGACCGTCCGAAGTTACAACGGCACTGGAAAAAGTGACTTATGACCCTTGCAGCATCCCTATGGTCACGTGATCAAAATCCAGAGACCTGGCAACCGGTTCACATATATTTAAATAACCCAGGTCAACCTTTGGAGATCTAGATTTTTGGGCGGAGAAGAAATTGCTTTTGTTCTTTTCAATACCTACGATATCCTCCCTGTTTTAACAAGACACACAGGTTAAAAAACACCTCTGCCTTTCAGTAAATTCAGTACCTTTATTTGACTGGGAACTTTTAAGACCACAAGCATGTCCTAACATGGACTCAACTGGTATGTACTGAAACCAAAAATAAAAAATCAAAAAATCCATCCCACAACCTGGCCTCCAATTTTATACCGGGAACAATTCCTCAATCTTTGAAAACCCTAGAAAAATAAAATGTAGCATACATACAGCCTGTGTTTTTGTTTTTTTTAAAGGGGGTAAGTGACCCTCAGTGAAAAAATTAAGAGACCCATCCCCAAACATTTTACGGCGCACTGTTGTTCTTCAACAAGATCGTTTTAAAACGGCAGGATCATAAAAAAAAAAAGGGCGATATCGTATTAAGAAAACCTCTCTCACCTTTATAGAGACACCCTTCCCTCTTTAAAAATTAAGATTCATCATCGTTCTGGTATGAGTCTCCCCAATGCCTTGACTGGCAAAGCGAGTCATCTTTTACAGACCGATTCTGCATTTCAGTAAAGATGACGCAGAATCCAGATCAGAGAAATCTGTTCAAACTTTCAAAGAGAGTCAGCAGATCTTAGATAAGAAAAGCCCAGACAATGAGTATTAAATGAGTGGCTGAATACTATTCATCTATCTCTGTAAGGGCTTAAAACCCACTTGCTATTGAAATTTAACTGCAGAATAAAGTCCAAGCAACATTCAAGATCGGGGTAAGGCTTGATTCTTATGCATCAACAATTCACTTTTTTTTTTTTTCATTTTCTCTTTTTACAACTCTCTTTCCGGTAATCGAACATGCCATAAAATAATCATCTTTTAAATCAGCCGCACAGAACAGGTTTTAATAGGTTTTGCCGTGGACCTTGGAGGATGCTTATGTATTTAGACAACTACAGTTAACTGCTGGAACTTTGCTATTTTCAACAACCAGAAGGCGAAATAAAAACAGCTTTTAAATAATGTTAAAATGTTGTAGTTTCTCTTCTCTCAACTGGGTGGTTTTAATCTGCGGGCTCTGGTGCTAATTGTGGATTATTAATTAAGGGGGAAAAGCTTTAGATACTTGTTTTTCATGTACGTTTCAGAACAGGTAAGATAGAGAAGAGAAATGTGTTTCTCTTATCTGATGGAAAGGAAAATTAAAAAAAACCCCACATTTCTGATCTTGAAAAAAAAGTTTTACAGAAAGTGGAACCTCTTTAATCCTTTGAAAAGAGGGCTACGTTGGAGGAAACAAATATTTCAAAAGGACTGCATGTTAATTTAATTTATATAATGCTATAGCTGGGCAAAACCTTTTTTTGTTTTTGTAGATTACAGGAGCTGTCTAAAAGTAGCAGTCCTTCAGCTACGATTCTCCATTTAATTCACCATTTTTAATTAAATGGTGAATTAATTTTAATTAAGCCTTTTCAATTAACCATTAAGAATTGAACACAAACGTGCACTGCTGTGCGTTCTTATTTAAAAACTAGTTCCAGTTTTCTAGTGGCTTTTCAAAATTAGATAAATAAAAATAAGAGTGGGGGGGGAAGCAATTTTTGGAATGAACTTTTGCCGAATGGCAATATGGTTTTTGACTTCACTTCTGCCACCCATCCAGGGCAAATAATTCTCAACTTCTGCTAATTTTCCAGCTTAAGGAGATAAGTTGCTTTTCTCGAAATGAGGCTTCAGGGGGTGTGAATTACAAATTTATCCTTTATCTGATTTAGAGATACACAGTCTAAAAAAGCTTCAACCCTGAGAATTGGGGGTGTGAATTACAAATTTATCCTTTAT